TATAATAATAATAACAATTATTCAAAGAGAGTAAACAATGAGATAATTAATGTTGGTAGTAGCTGTAAGTAGTAAATAAGTTGCAATATTAAAAGTAATCAAAAATCCTCGATCAAATGTGAAAAAGAAATGAAACGACATTGGCTATCCACATTCATCCATATTTATTTATTATTTTAGAGAGGAGAAAGTTGAATGATAGAGGAACATAGGGAGAGAGAGAGAGAGGAAGAGGGAGAGGGAGAGAGGGAGAGAGGTAGAAAATGGAAAAGAAGAGAGGGTAAGTAGTGTCAATGATTTAATAGATCAGCTCGGCCATCTTCTTTCTTTCTCCTCGGGAAATTTATCCATCCCATCTCATCCAATCCAATCCAATCCAATCCAATCCATCCATCCATCCATCCATCCATCCATTCATTCATTCATTCATTCATTCATTCATCGTCTCATTGAACACTCTCTCCATTTTCCATATGGTTATTAGCTTTTTCTTGGATATAGAAAGAGGAAGATGAGAGAGAGAGAGAGAGAGGGAGGGAGAGGGAGAGGAAGAAAAAAAGAAAAGGGAGGGAGAAATTACGTTTGCAATGCAGTTGCAAACATAACATACACAACACCTATATATATATATATATATATATATATATATACATACATCGAATCACAATATAAAAAACCTGATTGATTTTTTTCTCTTAGGTATCATTCGCTAATGCAGCACTATATCTTGTCCATTTGTGATTGACGTTTTGTTACTTTAAGGAGAAAGAGGGAAAAAAGCAGCTCGTTATCAATATGATAAATTTAGAAGTTCGAAAAGCCTAGAAAATTGGTTCATGGTTTCTTCAATGATTCAGCAATTTTTTTCTCAAGAAAACTGAAACGACTGAAACTTTTCATTGCTTTGTAAAATTTTAATTTTCAAATTAGATAATAAAATGACACGATTGTAGCCTATAATCCATCAAAGGCCATATAATATTTGCAAGGTGAAAACAAATATAGTAGTATAAATAACAAACGAGACCTAAGCAAAAACTTGATATCATTACTAAATGACCCTTTACAAATACCATTAAAAATGAAAAAAAGAAAAAAAGACACCAAAAACAACAAAAATTGTTGCATGTAATGAACCATATAAGAAGAAAATCGTTGCACATTCTTAGTTTCCTTTATTTGCTTCCCGACAACCACAATTGAAATCATCCGAATTACCAACCGTTACACCGTGCTCTGTTACACATTCCATATGGTACCATCGGCAGCAATAATCACATTGTACCTATAGAATTATATTTTCAAAATTATATCACTGTAATATAACTTAACCAAATAAAGCTTATCACTGTAAATACTGTACTGTTAGTGACAAAACTTTTAAGCTAACTTTTTGAAACTGCCAAAAAAAGCTCTAATCTTCTTTAACCGATAACTGCAGCATCTAAAGTCACTGTGGCGTAATGTCACATATTTGCTTCTTTCCGCAAATTCAAATTACTCTCACTGTGGGAAATTTAGATCTTTCACATCAAGCAATTGCTAATTCTAATTAACTCTCTAAAATTTGGTACGAACTAATTTATGGCAATTTTAAATGTCAAAGACTTCGATAAATTAAAGATTAAATATTAACAAACAAAAATATTCCAAACCTAAGCAACACATACCCAAACAACACTTTCACTTTGTGGTTTTTTGCAACCTGACCTGGCGTCACATTGTTTTTCTGGATCGTGGTATGTCCATTCATCAAATACTATTGGCGCATGTGCAGCCGGCAATGGTGTAACCACCGGTTTCATCTTCTCCCAGTCAACACTGCTCGTTTCCAATGATATTTCTGTAATGGGGAAATATTTCCTACAGATAGAAACTGCTCACAGTTAGAAATAACAAATCTAACCTGCTTATAAAAAATGCTCTTATTCCAACGGCACAACATCACGAACTTTGTAAACACAGAAATATCTTCCAATAGATTTTTCGAATAAACAAGCACTGCTAATAATTTCAATTCCATATGATGTTAATTATTCGAAAAAATTGAAACGAATATACTTTGAAACTAAAATTTTTAATTCATAAAGCTTCCCAACTGATTTACACATTCAATGATTCAAATTTCAAAAAAAGAAATGGTGACTGACAAAAAACAAAATAATGTGACTTGAAAAAAAGAAAGGTGATTTAATTGAAAGCAATCATTTTGGTGTTTGACCTGGTTAACAGCATTGAACAAGTAAGGAAAACCCAAAGACAAAGTGTTTTATTTGTTTCTTTATATGTGCAGAAAAAAAGAAAACAGAACATAACAACTAGTGACACCTACACCAATGACATATCCATTATCCCATCTGATATGATAATTTGATAAACTTCATTTATCCTCCGAGAAGTTTAACTCGTCAACTTGCTCACCTTTTTCAAGAATATCAATCGAATTTATGCTGCAACTTAATCTAATAGTAATTCTATTTTCCAATTCTATAAAACAATCATTACTAGGAAGTAAAGGTCAACTATACTTTTCTAGTTATTAAAACAATGTTCACTTAACATGGCCCGAATAAGGAAGAAGGATATTTGGATACGCCACTGAAACACACCAATCAGCCACACATATAATCAAAAATCACTCGCTCTGTGACTTACCACTTTCGCTTGACGATGATCGCTTTTTCTTTTTACGTCCTTTCTTCCGGTTAGTTGCGGAAGGAGTTCCGGTTCCCTTATGTGTTTGCTTCCGTGGTATCTTACTCATCGAACGTGATTGATGGCCACTCATTTTGCCTATTTTTTTCTTACTTATACCACTACCACCAGGTGTGTGTCCAGTTTTCCGTTGTGATGTTGCACCCCACGTTCGTCGGATCGGAGAAGGTGATGAAGAAGTAACAAACGATGAACTGCTACTTTCATTATCAGAATCTGGTAATGTTTGCCTCTTCCTCATCATTTCAAATGCTCTTTCAATCTTTTCAGCTGCTGAAGTACCTGGCTGATCTTTTGGTAAAGTTTGCGACTTCTTCAAATCTTCCTTTCTCTCTTCCTCATTACCGTCAGAATCTAAGCTCACATTATCGCTGCTAGAAGATCTCTTCTTTCGTTTCTTTTTAACTATTGCTTTCTTTTTAATTATACTTGCAGTGATTGCATTTTTCGAAGTATGGTAACCCTTCTTCGGACGACCACGTTTCCGCGCAGCACCTCTATCAGAATCCTTGACTTTTGAAGAAGTTATACTCTTTGCGTTCGCAACATTCTTCTGTTGTTGCTTCTTTTTTTCATGCCTTTCTGAGCTACTTGAATCACTTTTAGAACTTCTATTATCAGCATCATCATCTTCATCATGCCTATAGATCTTCCTGAAACTGATATCTATATTCTATTTCTTCATATCATCTGTTATTATAGAATAAATATATGCTATTGATAATATTCGTTCTGTAAAACATGCTACAATCTGAAGTGTATTAAGATTTGAATTGAAGTAAACTAAGTTTTACTTCGATTTTAGTATATTGGAACTGTGGGTGTAAATAAGCTTCTTATGTTCAGCGGATCAACTGCGCTAAATGGAACTCACATCAGAGTTAAGTCAGGTATACCATCAATTTTGGTGATGTGTCTAACTGAATAAGCAAAAGTCAGAAGATTATTTAAAAAAAAACATTCCAAATATCTTTCTCCTTCACAGTTATTAATAATCCTTAAATTGATTTTTGACATTACTTCTGTGATGTTCAGTACAGAACAGGAGAAGAGGAAAATTTAACAGGTTTTTTTATGTTCAAATACACAAGCATAAATGAATATCTTATAGATAAAATATTCCTTTCTGTAGGAAAATCGAAAAAAAAGGATTAATTCCTTTTTTTCCGACAGAACGAAAAAAGGACTAATTAATTCGAATTGGATTAATTCATTATTAATCACTAAAAATGACCTCGTTTGTGTTGGCGCTGTGATTTTGTTAGTACTCTTTCTTGCAAGATGATGCCATGCCACTTCAGTTAAATCATTCAACAACATGGCTACCTAAATTTTAAAAAAATTAACCAGTTATAGTACAGGAATCCTATATGAACATGCAAAGTTATAATAAATATAAATTATTTCGATCTTCGTTACAGTTTAAAGTCACACATCAATTTCATTCAATATATCAAATGCGCCTCTTTTATGCTAAGAGAAATGCTTGATGATAAAATGAAAAAATTATCAACCGACTTATAATGTTAACTTTATACAAGTCATCGGTATAAGCAGTCCTTTGCATTTGCAACATATGAGAAATACAACCGTCACATCAGTGAAAATATATAACGGAACGGAGTAGTACCTCATTATTCTTACGTCGTCTCTTCGGCTCAACTTTTTGTTCTACTATAACAGGCGTTTGAGTGGGTGAACAAGACGAATCCGAATGACCATGCCCGCGTCCTGTGAACATTATTTATTTTGACAAGATATATTTATATTTTATCGAAAATGGAGGGAGAAATAGGAAAAGAAAACATAACTTTGTATTTTTGTATTTTACCTACGTATTTAAGATAGTACAAAATCGAGATAATACAAAAACTTGTATTCTATGCTATGTGATGATATCTAGTCAGATAAGACTATTTCATTTCGAACATAACATAAACTTATAGGTTACAGCCTTTCATATTATACTACATGATTTTTTTGAATCTGAAATAGAAGATATAAAAAAACTTAATAAAAATGAAAATTTGTTGAAAAATATGAAGTGTTGGCTTTGAAGAAAAACAAATGGAAATGAATATGAACTAACTTTTTGGTGATTGATGAAGTGGTGAACGTAATGATTCAGATGGCTTCCGTTCCTCTATGGTACGCGGTTCTTGTTGTGCCGTTGATCCGGTGGGTAATTCAGAAGAACTGGATGCCGGTGTAGGTACTCGCTTTGGTGGGCCGCAGTCTTCTAACAGATCTTCCGTTAACTCTTCCAGACCAGACAATCGACTATTTCGTTCCGCATTCTCTAGAAATGAGTTTTGTAACTAAAATATGATAAAATTAAAAATTGTCCAGAAAAAAAAAAACTAACCTCATATTATCTACGATATGACTCCTTGGACATAGTACGTCCAATCCAATTTAAATTGAAATGAAAAAACATTTAAAATTTAGAAATTTTTCCAAAAGGAAGATTATTAGCGCTTATTCAGAAAAATTGATCAGAAACATACCTCTCTGTAACTCCTCCATGGGTCTTTCTTGTGTTATAACTGAGGTTGCCGTAGGTGACACTGGCATTTGAGAAAGCGCAGCAGATGCTACAGATCCGGCTGGTGTCGGTGTTACTGCACCCAAATTCATGCCGGTCATAGCAGTTGGCACAGCACTTGAAGCCGTGAAAGTACTACAAGTGCTTACTGCTGTCGAAGTTCTATCATTACTAAACCTTCGTTCACCGCCTGCTACCGCTGCTACTGACGGTATTGAAGTTGGAGTCTGAGCCTGAACTTGAGCTGGAGGATGAATAGCTGTTACTGGTGATAGTGAAGGTTGCGATAATACTGCAGTCGCTGTTCGATGGATACCAACAACACCGGTCGGTACCACACCAAACATAGCTGCTGTCGTTTGTTGTTGCTGTTGACTTTTGGGCGGACTTGGAACGGAACTATCACATTCCATACGTTTCACACTATCAACAGCTGATGGAGTAGCAATTACCTGAGCAGGAGTGCAATCTGTTAATTTTGAAACCCTTTGTATATCGATTGCTCGCGAACTCGTTGAACAATGATGTTGACGTGTAGCTGCTGTTCTACTACCTCGAGTAACCGGAATATTTCCCGATATTGTAGCAGAAATTGGAGCTCTAGCTGAACGTGAAGCTGATGTATGCTGCGCTAAAGACTGTAATAACTGATTGCTTTGCGTACTGATGTTTTGGACATCAATTCCTGATGATTGGTCAGTAACTGCTGCAGTTGCGGTAGCCGATCTTTGAGAGCACGCTCCTCCAACGGCAGCAGTGACCGCCATCTGAACTGTGATATTCGAAGTTACCCTTGGTGAAGATGCTTGCTCCGATACAACAGTACGCAGTCGATTATCACAAGCTGTTCCCATGAAAGATGAAGTGTCAGCAGCAATCTGCGCATTTGCACCCATCCATGCCGGACTAGTCAACTGACCATATTGCTGAAAAAACATCCGAATGGTTGAAATATAAAAATATTTCGGTAAAATCGTTTTAAATATTGATTCATTGAGCTTTAAATTCTGGAAAAGATAAACTTACTGCAACAGCCTCTACATGTTTCTGTTGTTCCAATTGATGGTGTTGAAACTGCTGGACAGCTGTAGGTGATTGCGATGGCCAAGGGTTTTGAGGCCAAAGTGAATGCAGATAAGCAGAACTGAACTGAGGAAAGGCTGCTTGATAATAATCAGGAAACCTCTGTAAATTATAGAATGGGGCTGCTGCAGCACCAGCAGCAGCCGAATTCTGCCATGAAGTGGAAAGTTCCATCGTTGGATTGGCCAAAGGTAACCGAGATGCTGCATGCAAGTTTTTCCCATCACCGATAAACATCTGTAATGAAGTAGAGTGTTCCAAATTCAGATTTCAAAAACTGTTTCAAAAAATTTTTTAGTACATTTCCCGGGAAATTTATACACTTATCCAAGACCTGACCTTATGCAAAGAATCGACACTTTAAGCCAATCTATCATTGATCAGGTCGTTGATAATTAGTCCTACCCATAACTTCATCTAATTGGAATCTATGAAATTGCCGCGATGATAAGTATTTTACATGAATCTCGTAAAGAATAGAAAATCAAAAATTCGAAAGATTTAATTAAACGGCAAAATCTGAAACATATCTGCAATTAATTCCCCGAGAAAAAGTGAAGTTATTTCCGAAGAGTATTCCAATAAAAATCTAAAATGGCACGGAAAAATCTATTGAAAATCTCTCCATTTCTCTCACTGCTTCTTCTCAAAATGCTTGCCTGGGAAAAATCTTGTCGTGCATTACCCATAATTGTTATAGGACGTCTACGATCACTTAATCGATGAGCTGGTGCTTCTTCAAACTAAAATTACAAAGCTCTGGACCTCTGAATATGATATTTATCTCTGTAAGCAAAAAATTTCTGAATGAAGAGATCATAAGAATTAGTATCGAAAACCACTACTCATTATTTTTCATTCGTTATGGAAATAAAAAATAATGAGTAGTGATTCTCGATACTAACACATTATCATCCTTCATTTCAAGATGATAATTCATTAACTTTATCTCATTTTCGAATCACTAATCTTTTGAAAATAAACAACACAATTATCTCTTATTCATTGAAATCAAAATGCAATAAACCTACAACGAATGTAAATTCGGCAGAGGTTTGCGGTCCATAGCAACCGGGCTTAATAGCTGCACCATTTACATGTCCAAATTTGATTACATCACCTTGTTGTAACTCAGCTTCACCTGATACCTAAAAATTTTTCAAATGAGCAAACAAAATGATAAGAACCGATTAGAATTATGAACAAGTATACTAAAAAACCACTATCAGGTATAAAAATCACCATACCCTAAAATCATTAACATAAGTGCCATTGAGGGAATGATCTTTTATAAAACACGCGTATCGATCACGTCTAGCTTTCACAAATATTGTCGTGTGTTCTCTTGAAATCATATTACTGAAAATTTCGCTTATATAAAATGTTATCGCAACAAAGCGCTGTTGTCCATATTAAAAGACTGGAATGTAACAGCTATACGCACAGTATGTCGACAATAAGAATCGGAAAAATGAAATGTAATTCAATGGTGAATAAGGCTGTTAAAACTGATTAAACTAAAATTAGTTGACTTTTAGGCCTTTCAGGGATAATGTTTTGAATTGAGCAGGTTACGTCTTAGTGATTACTTCCAAAGCTTGCACAAAAAATATTTTTTAAAAAGCGGAATATTTGACTACCTATGCACTTGTGAAATTAGGACTACGTCGACCAGATCTGGGTTCCGGCCAATTTTCGTCGTTTGGTATCTGAAAAATTTAGTACAAACGACTAACAAACACAATATTACAATAACAAAGTAAAGCAGTAACAAAAGGACCAATACCAATTTTTCTTTTTTTGAAAATCTTAAGCGAAATTCAATTAAATGAATAAATAACTATTTTGAGCGTTAGTTCACAATTCTTTTTTGTCTTAACATCATCAATAAAATGGAGAAAAGTGGAATTTCTAATGGTCACATCAAATTCTTAACTTCATTAAGAATTTGATGTGACCATTAAAAATCCCTTCCGAGATCTGAGTTAATGCCAAAACCATCTAATTATACTCGGAGACATAGTTTCAATAACTAATGCTTCATTTCATTCCTTGGAAAGGGAACGAAGCAACATGAAACGTTCTAAGTTTCATGTTACGTTCTACCTCAAAATTAGCAACATCTTTGAGTATAAATGCAATAAAATCAAAACTTACAAAAGGACCGTGTCATCTGGTAACAATGATTGCGAATTTTGATTGACATGTAAACGACGCAACTGATAAATCGTCATCTTTACATAGTTCTTTGATGAAATGATAGGAAATTATCCTCGAAAGCGGTATGATAAAATCCTTTCCCTCTGAAAAAAAAATAGCTCCAATTTTTAGAATAACTTTTTACAATTTCATTCCTTCCAATACAATCTTTTTGTTATAGATCAAAATCTTTACAAGTTGCAGTCATCAATGTGTAAGCTTTAACAAAAATTGAATACAATTGTTCTGACAAAATTAAATGAAAAAATTCTACATCTTCTAAACCTAATATGCCGAGCACAGCTATTATGTCTAGTCAGTCTGTCCTTCGCTTCCTGTCTCCAAATATATGCTTGAATTTCAGTAACATCAAAATATCGCATTGAAATTTTTCAGTAAATCTGTCAACATTATGTGATAAACTGATTGGAATATCATGTGGAAGGTATTATCTAATAATTTGGACAAAAGTGTGAAAAAAAAATAGTAAATAGCTTACTGGCAAAAACAATGAGCTGCTAATTCCTTGCTGTTGAATCGATTGATACAACAATAAGAAAAAAACAATATCCGAATAAAAAATCTGCAAAATTACGTCGATTCAGGAAACGCCACGCGGCGATGGCGCATTATCAAAACGTAAGCGCCTATGTTATTGTTCTCGTTTTTTCCTTCTTTCCATCAGATGTACAATAAACAAAGTGGTGCTGCAAATCTGAAATAATTTCGGTTTTTTTTTTTAAAGCTATTGCATCAATCTTTAAAAAGAAAAAACAAACAAATAAACGAAATGATACATCAATTATGAGAAGTAGCAATTGATCTGAAAACTCTCCCTTCATATTTAAAATAAACTCTCTTCCATTTAATTCTAATTATTACTTATCGAAAGCCTTCCAATCCATTACTTTCTTCATCTTTGATAATGATTTTAAATGACATTATAAATTATAGAAATGTACGAGAAAAAGTTTGAATTCATTTCATACCCATAAAAATCATCAAATTCCCCATTTCGGAAGAGTCTTCATTCATTTAGCCTTCTATTTATGCTAATTACTGCATTATGAGTTAATTTGACGTATATTACTAATCATACAGGTAAAGAAGTTAATCAATAAATACAACAAACTTTTTATCAATAACTAAATTGTATGCTATCAGTCGATGCTATGATGTAAAGAAACGTGTTGACTCGAGTAGGGATCAATTTCAATAACGATATATGTCAAAATGCGCATATTTTCACAATTACTTTATGGTTGGTTAGTGATAAATTTCTTTTAAGCTAATTTTACATCAGTAAAATTTTCATTCTAATAACATATTCAGGTCTTAGAATGAAAATAGTAAAACGAGCGTTCTACAAAAACGTTAATATTGATTTCCATTTTGTTATACTTGTTAGCAGAAAAAAATTAAGAAAATACAAGAATTTCCATATAAAAAAGTAAATTTGAAAGTAAAGGAAGAAAAATTGAGGATAAATTGAGGATAAATGAAAACAAATTTAATTTAAAATGTTACGGAATATTTTAATCAATGTAACGTGAAGAAAATTCATGAAAAAAAAAACAAAACGTTTTAAACCATTGAAAATTATGAAATTAATTTGCAGCATTGCAAGCAAAAGCAAAATTGACATACTGAAAATTCAGATGTGAATGGCATTCTCCTATTGCACATATCCGATTATCGTGCTTCCATTATACCGTCTCTTCTAACAAACTGAACTTCATCTAATTTGACCTATCCCGCATATCCCGTTTGCCATTATCGTCAATAATTCCCAAGTGCGATAATTTACTGGAATGTAAATTAGTGCATAGCTAGCTCTGAGCAAATAATAGTTAAATGATTAAGAAACAAGCAAAGTGACAGCGTAGCAATACAGAAACAATTAAGAGTTATGTGCGCCCAGAACAATTGACAACTCCAAATTGTTGGACAATTTTCTTTTCCATCTTTTTTAGCAATCATAAATAAAAAGAAAAATACGATTAAAGTTAATGTAAGTGTAAATGTTACGCATTATTCAACAAAAATATTAAAAATATTTTTTTAGATAGTATTATCGATAATTCAAAAGTTTGTTTCATTAATTGTTTTACATCGCCACTGTAAAATTGCTTTGAGAAAGATTCACGGGAATGAATTCACTCCTCAAAATCGCATTTATCACTTATTTTAACAAGACATTAATTAACACTCTTCTCTTATCAAATGTACAAGTTAAAAAGTATAAATTGTAAGTCTAAAATAAATGGAGGGAAGAGCAGAGGTTGATCTGAGCAAGGGCTGGATCAAACAGTTCGATCAATGATCCGTAGTTGTTAGTGGTACAAAAACTGTAAAATAAGCATTACTTCTGCAAATGAAGGAACAGAGTTGTTCCATCAGTGGCAGTAAATTGTATAAATCTCAAACACAATAACATGCTCGGGAAAAGTCCGAGTAATCAACATGGATTGAAGCAAAGTAACTAAAAAATAAGCGAGAAGGATAACAGTACAGGTAAAGATAATGAGGTCAACAGTAGGCACCTATAATGAAAGTGTTCCCATAAGGATGGACGGATTGCGAGTCCTTTAATTCATCCTACTTTTCTTCCAAACCGACATTGAAATGCTGTTGCTGCTATGTTAGAAAATAATCAATATTTTAAGTTGTCTCTCCCTGCTCTGTTTCATCTTCTCTTCCCTCTTTCCTTCTCCCTCTCTCTCCTCTCTCCGTCTGTCTCTCTGTTTGTCTCTATCTCTCTCAGAGTACAACTATCAGAAAAGTGATGAAATGTAGGGCCGAGGAATGCTCAGAGATCACCGCGAATCTCAGATATATATATTGTGTGAGTTATTTATTTATTTACGCTTTCCTATTTTAAAGTTTTAAATTCTAAAATGATAAAATGAGAAAGTGGAAAAGGGACTGTCTCTATCTCTCCACCAACAGGATCGTTGATTGCAGCATCTCATTCCTACAATCATTATCACTATCCTATCGTCATATCAGTGCAACCTTATCAACATTCTTCTCTCTTCTACCTTACGGATCAGTTTTTTCATCAAAATGCATGTGACAATATTGCAACCGTCCCTTCTTTAACTCTGATAGCAAATTCAGTGAAACAAACAAATCCCTTGACAGCCTAATAAATGAAAGTATCATTCTGGTTAGGTCACCACAGAGCGACGGACATGTTAAGCCGAACCTTAATAATTTATGAAATCATTTGCTGGCTGAATTTTTTTCTCCTTATCTAATTGTAGACAAAAGAGTTAATCGATGATGATAAAAGTATGAATTCAAAAAGAATTGTTAAAATGAACTGTAAAACGAATGATAACAATTCTCTAGTAAAATCCAAATTGCCATCTGTCAAAATTTCGACAGAATTTTCGAATAAATCGAATAAATGATTATTTTGGGAGCTTTTAGTTAATACTTTATATGTTGGGATAGCTTTGTTTTTATAAGACATATATTTTTCCATACTTCATTTTATGCTTTTGACAGTTTAATTCCTTCAGATACAAATCTAACTTATTCGAGCAATGAGCGCATGCGTACCAAAAAAGCACTTCATATTCAAGAAATTAACAATTGTGAAGGAACAAGAAGAAAATTCTATAGGGCGTACGATATTGTTACCCACAAGCTGTATCGTCATTGTCCTTATCAATATTCAGTGGAAGAATAAATAATATGCTGCAAATGGGGATTAATGGGATCTCATGTTTGGATTGGCATTATTTTATTCCAAACCGAATGCGTCAGATTATTCAGTCAAGGATGCAATACGTGCATCAGTCCGGAAAGTGAATGAGAAAATTTTTGTAACAAAATGTGGATGAATTGATGCCATTTTCAAAGTTTTCTTCATTAATCCTTAAAAGTTTAACAAAAATGTATTATAATTTCAATTCTCGAAACACATGAAAATTTAGAATACAAAACACCGAAAAATGAAATCCATCTATAAAATAATAGGAGACAAACCAAAAAATTAAAAAACTTACTAACAACCTAAAAAAATAAATGAATTAAACACGCTATATCAATAGTTATAAATAAATATATAACAGAATATAAGTTTTAAATCATGAAAACCGGAATCAAAAGAGTATAGATTAGAAAAAGTTGTGTTGAAATTCACAAAGAAAAAGGCCCGAAATGCGTGCTGTTCTACATAGACATTTAATTTTCTTCTTTGCAAATATACACAGATAACCTGGATTATTTGAAATCATATAGAGTTCACGCAACAAAGACCAAAAGTGATATCAAAACGGGCCCATTACATGGCAACATAAAGTTCCAAAGTAGGACACAAAAAGACCACAAACTGAACAGCTTCAAATAAACCCATAAGGATCAAATTAAAGCACCTAAAGACATCTCATTAAACAAAAATAATTTTCAAATAAAAATTAACTGACTGGTGGTGGCTAATGTTCACGAAGCCTTAATTTGATGTCAAAGAGAGAGAGAGAGAGAGACCAAAGAATAGCTACAACCTATAGGAAAGAAACATTTATTAAAACTCGGAAAAAAAAATTCACTGGACAGAGTATACTCTCTGATCATCTCTCTCACGAGTCATCCATGTTACAAAGATAAAAATATTTGAAAAATAACAAATAAAAAAAACACTGACAGTGTTTTCAAAGAGAAAATATACATTTAACTATCAAGCGTTTCAAATGTTTCACGAAAACATAACTATTTACATTAATGACGCTTCAGTTAAATACATTGTCTGGATTTATGTACACTAACACTAATCAAATAACAAAAGAAATGTAACAATATGTACAAGCAAGTTTAAAAATCCTCACTCTCAAGTCAAGTACTATATTAGGACATATTTAAACATAAGATTGACTAACGTTTCAAAGGAAAAATGATTTTCACCGAATATTTTGAAAAATTCTGATTACATAAATTTCGATCCCTCTTTGCATTGTTTGTATTAAAAAAGTTTGTTTTTTTGATGGCAGCATTGATAGTTTCCCGTGAAAATTTTTGCATGGTGAAAAAAGCAAAAGAGTGATAGTCAGAAAAGATGTGATTACAAAAATAATTCTTGCAGTGTAAAAAAATTAGAATTCAATTATGCTCTACCCCAATTCAAAGAAATGCGTGAATAATCGAAATCATTCATTAAAAATCACGTATCATACAAAAACAATGAGAAAAGATTTTAAAAAATAACGAAGAGAGAATCTATTGTAAACCGAGATTAGTTGAACTTATCTTCAGCCGTATTAAAGCCACTTTTAAAATAATAATAACGTGTTACCATAATAGAAAATTTTAAATGATTTCCATAAGCACGTTCTCAGTAATTTAACAATTCCGCAACATTCTGACAAACCTAACTTGAAAATTTAAAAAAAATATCTATAAAATAAATCAGTCAATATCATTTTGTATATTCGAAGAGAGAATAAAGAATTTTATAACAAAAAAGGCCAATAAATCAAGGCTACTTTGCAAAAATTAAAAAAAAAGAACCGCTTATTAAGAATCATACAATTATCCCCGCCACACTCTTTCAGTTCTTATTTCTGCAGACTTTAATTTTTTGACAATAAAGAACACCTCTACAAGATAAGTGAATTTTGAAAAGTCAAATAGTTATAAATATACAATAAAAATTAAATGATCAAAATTAATCCTAGCAATTAATTCCAGAGAAAATAATGATAAATACACAAATAATAAAACTAAAAAGTGAACAGCAAGCAATGCAACGAAACAAGTACTTACTCCAGCTTTAGTTTTGGGTGCTTTCATCTCAATCCAAATGCGGTTTTTCTGAAGCTGCGGTGATGCAAGATTTCATGGGCCTAACTTGCAATTTCTTGGATCGGTCTGGGTGACAACTGATGATCAACTTTCAAAAAACTATTTAAAATGAGTTGGGAAATTACTTCCATAAGTCGATATTAGGTATTCCCACATTACTCCATTAGACGTTGACCTGAGTTTCACGTGCTTGACACTGATGTAAGTCTGTTTTTGAATCCTAAAAAATAGCTATTGAAAATTTCTACAAAATTACACGATTATAAATTTAAAATCCTTCAAACTAAATTCAGCGGCTTTTTGAAAGATTTGAGATTGAATTCAACTGTTTTTCTAAAAGGTGTAGATATTAGTCTTCCAATTTTCCATTTCGTTAGCCTGAGCCTCAATCATCCTTCAAATTTTCCTTTTTCTGTAAGTATAAAAATGTACCTGCTTGACCATAGCACCTTGGCAAGTTTCCAGTTGTTCAGTTGGATTATCGCTGAAAGATGGTCTAGCGAGATTTGCAGCAGAACGTACAGTTACCATCGTTCGTCGGACTTGCCTACCCAAAGACTGTTGCAGCTGAGCTCTTTGCATCATTCCATTACACTGTAGCTTTCGTCTTCTATCTACCTCATGGAAGTTATTATTGCCGTAAGTTGTTTGATAGGGTATCATACGAACAGCGGTATTGGCAACATACGATGGAGAAACGACATGAAACTAGAAAATTCTTTTTAGAAGATTGTGTAACTTATACAAAACTATAAAGCATATTAACTAGTAGTAAAGCTTGGACTTAGGTTTAACTTGAAGAATAATAATTTTGATTTAAGCTGAATTAATCGGGTGAATTAGGCAGGAAAGTTTTACCATTTGTTGTGATGACAACTGCTGTGGAGGATAGATGGGTTGCGGCAGCATACGTGGATACAGAATCATTCCATTCATATTGACAATTTGACCTGGCGAATGGAAAGGTGGTGGCGGCATAACATGTGGAGCATGTAATAACGGCACTCCATCTGTATACCGTAATGGAGAAGGCAATGATATCTGAAAAAAATTTTCTCAGAATCCCAAAACTAACTGCTTGTATTTATTTTGTTTTTAATTAAATTTGCATTGAAAAAAATCAAGTCCAAATAAGTTAAGCTCAGAGTGAACAAAAAGGCACAAGTTCCGGAACAACCAAGTTCTTGGAATCACAGTTGTAGATAAACAGTTATCTAGATTATAAAGAAATTTGAAATATAAGATGAAAAAAGATGCAACTTCTAAAAACTGCGAAATGACAGCTTTTCGGCTTTTACAACAAGAAAATCCATTTCAAATAACAAATGAACATACCTGTGACATGTGCAAGGAGTACTGACTACTACCGTTGACTCCATTCATGAAAGGCATTGCTGGAGCGGCACATTGTACAATATTATGGCCATAACTCGGAGCTTTACGAAACACTAATTTTTTGACACTTTGTCTTTCAGAATTTTGTTTCCTTGACATAGCACGATTTGGATTAGATGACTGCTTCCGAAACGTTGCTTCAACTTTTGTGGTAACTATATTGTACGATTGTTTCGACTCGACTGGTTTCACCGGACTTTTATCTGCCGTAATATCTTCAAATATTTTGTATTCCGGTGATCTTCTTAAGATTGGTCGTTCATCGATTGATTCATCTACAGCATAAGAGATTACATTCATTTAACAATGTATATTACTAACGAAGACATTGACGTAGATAAACATAGTTCGTAAACACACAGTCTAGTATTCAAAAATGTTGAATTTCTGCATTTTAATTCGGTAAAAATACTAAATTTCTGCCTTGGAAAGTCTTTTTAGTTTGAAATAAAAACCTTATCAACAAACTTAACTGAATCAATTCAATTTAAACTAACGATAAAAACTGTCATTTCACTGATCTTCAAAGGCATTCGGTAAAAATAAAACTTTGAATTCCAAGCACGCTAGTTTCATACATTAGTTTTTTCACCGCACTCAAAACAACCACAACTTTTTAATAGGAAAAATTTACCAGAATCATGTTCACTTTGCTCCATTCGAGCACTTAGTCGCGCTGCAACAATACGATTCATCACATTGAAATGCTCCTGCATCTGATGAACATCACGAGTACTATCATTGCTGAAATAAAAATTCATATTTTGCAAAGACGGCAAAGAAAATTCTCCAGTTCGATTATTCAAGAACTTTTAGGAATTAATTAGAAAGCAAAAACAAACCGGAATAAATTTCCCGGAGTTTGCAGTTTGGTTTCTGGTGCGCCATTCTTCACCCACGGGTGCTTTAATACTTCATCGGCAGTGAAACGCTGGCGCACGTTCTTAACCTAAATAAAAAGAATAATTAAACAAAAAAAGTTGTGATTCACTTAGGAGGTGGATAATCGACAGAAAGTGGCATGGTTTTATCCAAAAAAAACGTACCAGCAGATGGCAAATGAGATCCTTTGCTTCCTCACTCACGTTTTCCCATTCCGGCGCCGGAAAATCGAACTGGCCCCGTTGAATGCGTTTGAACAAACTTTCCTGACAGTCGTTGCAAGCCAGACCTGAAGTAAGTCATAATGTCACATGGGTGAATTGCGATTAACTATAACTGCGAAATCGATTCAAATTCTGAGAACTTTTTCGGATGTACAAAAAAGTACGCAATAAGTCTTCGTCATTAATATTATTTCTACGAAAATTATGGCTTTCCAACACACCAGCTGAAACATGGAAAATTGAAAAAAAAAACTAACCCTGATCCCAGCCACAATTTTCACGCCAGCATTCTCCATAAAACGGTGGATAACCACATATCATGATATAAACAATAATACCAAGTGACCACATATCGCACCGCTTATCATATTTAAGTGCATCGCCAACGAAAGCATCCACTACCTAAAATCACAAAATCAATATTCTATTTCCAAAATTCGGTTATCGTGAAAAAACGTTGATTAAAATTATGCAATGAGAGAAAATTTTGAGATTTACACAATTTATTTTTCACTGATTCCAATAAAATCGTGAGCAAACCTCCGGAGCCATAAATTCCGCACTTCCTACAGGGCTTGCTAAATCTGGCTCACTGTTGACATTAGTTAGTCGCGGTGGAGATGGAGGACTCGCTTTACTTGCAAGATCGAGATCACATAATTTCACCGGGCTTACGCGATCGACATCTGAACACAATACATTTTCTGGTTTCACATCACGATGTGCAATTCCTAAAATTGGGATCAAATTATAACCGGATATTAAAACTGGAGATTTAAAATTTAAAGTAATATATGAAAATTTTTCACAAGTTTTGTTGCTCATCTATAAACCACCTTTATTTCATTTAGGATTTAAAAAGCTTAAAAAAACAAAATTTTAAAATAATGACCACAGTTTGGGATCCGGACTAATTTGAAGCTTGAAAATTTACCTCGATCATGTAAAAATTTGAGCGCTGTGGCAATGTCTTTTGTTACTTTGCTTGCTTCTTGTTCCGTAAAAAATTTCTTGCGTTGGATATGATCGAGTAGAGGACCACCGCGCATTTTTTCGAACACCAAATAAAATCGGTCATGGTCTTCGAACCACTAAAAGTGACTTATTTCATAGGCGTTTAGAATTGGGTTATGCGAATTTTAATCTGAAGTGATATTGAATAAAATGAACACCAGCAGGACATACAAATAGCACTGCTACATGCGGAAATTGATGTGTCACCAACATATGCGAAAAACTTGAAATCAGTAGAGCATGAAAATTTTCATATAAATTATTCAAACTATTAAATTTCGCAATAGTAATGTAGTTCTTGCGACAATAACAGACAATAATATAAAATCATACTACCTCATGCAACTGCACGATGTTTGGATGATTTTTGCATAGATTAAATGTTTCAACTTCATGCATAACACGTGAGCGTGTATGACCCGCTTTATGTTTGTCAATCAATTTAATAGCGAATTCTTTACCAGTTGCGAGTGAGATACCCGTTTTAACATTTGCAAATGCTCCTGACCCAAGATGATCATCCACTAGCTTGTAGAAATCTGAAACTACCCCTAATTTGGATAACTGAATCACATCATACACCTACAAGGACTCTCGTAAACTTTTTGTTTCTCTTTTCTTTTATTGGGAGCGGAATGCGAAATATCAACGATCTACGTCAATGATCAAGGTCAAATTCATTTCCCTTAATTTTCGGTTTTTTAAAGCTTTTTCGATTGAGTAATCGCACTGCAATTCTATGTTTTGCACTATTAATGAAAAAAGAATTAAATATAGAACCTGCAAAATGGCTTCGAGCCTTTTTATGATAACGTGCTTTACAACCAGACAAGCTATAGGTACGCATGCCTAATGGAACAAGTTCGGCAGGCTGTTCTTCGGATTCTGATTCTCCATTACTTAGACCATCAAATTCTCCCTCTACAGGATGATCCGAAAAGCGACTCGAAATAAAGCTAAAAGAAATGGGTAAAACAAAGATATGCTAACATGATGAAATAAAAAAAATGCATTAAAGAGTTTCTTTATCATCATTAGATTCACTCAAAGTCAATTTTGAATTTAAAAAAATTTAAAAATTACTCGTGAGGAGAACTTCCTGTCGTTGCCTCCGAAGAACAACGACCACCGCCGTAGCTTCCTATAGATGATGTCGTTGTGGAACCTGAAAAAAAAAGTTCCAATCAATAGCTGCACTGTTAAAATTTATTTTCTACGCTCTGATTCCCTCTCTAGAAAAAAAATTTCTTCAAGGCTAAATTAGAAATGGTCCATCGATACACACATAAATTTAATGTTTATATCACGATTCATGAAGAATTGGACAAGCCTGCAGCACACCTTAGTTTCGTTCCATGAATATATAAGTCCGTTTCCTTATTCAACAAAAAGATAAGATACTTTGTAACATTAGAAAGCATCATGATTGTATTCCGTTCATCAAAAGTTTATACTCGTGAAATGCAATGGCAATTTCATGAGAATTTTGATTCAAACTAGAGCTTTCTGTCATTCATGGTAGCTTACCCGAATTCTTTGCTAGCTGCCACTCTTTGCTGTTTTGTAGATGTTCGTTAGTCGGTTTTTGTGCTTCACCCTCACCACCAACTTGCTCTTGCCGCCGCCGATGGTGTGTTTCGCAGACCCGTTGCTTCTCTTCGTTGTCCGATGCTAGCGGTGCGTCTGGAATAGTGAAAAATTCATAAAGATTAATACGTTCCTATATATTCTTATCAAATATTGTGAAATATTAACGTTTATTATCCGAACTGGTAATGTTTCAGACTTTAATTTTTCTTCAATTTTTATGGTCCCAGGAAGAACACAAATTTGCAGCAGTATGTCCAGAAAAAAATCTGTGTTTCCCACTTCTCGTCACTTTAAATAAACTAATCAACCAAAGTGTGTTTCCCACTTCTCGTCACTTTAAATAAATTCTATAAAAAACAAATACACACATACGCCGTCTGAAAATCTAATAATTCGGAACAATTTCCACTAATTCTCCACTGCTCTTTTTTAAAATACGTCATAAACTGCTGCAACAAACGCGTTCAAATTTACTCCTTCCTACTCCTAATTTTCTCCTTCTACTTTCTATACCATATCAAAAACTCTCGTAATAACAAATGCCAAGATTGTTTTGGTGAATCAATAGAAATCCGGGGAAGAGAAAATTTAACACAAACAATGGAATAAAACATAATGTGCATCATAGTTTAAAATGTCCGATTACAATCATAGAATTAGAGAAAAGCAAAGTAAAAGAACTAATGATATGGAGTAGATAAAAGTGACGACTATTTGTACTGAATCACAAACATCATAATCATTACAAACGATAACCAGCTCAGTGATTCTATAACAGCATCTTCTTCTCCGTCCATACTCACATACTGCTCTCCATAAATAATGTCTCTGTCCTATTTTGTGTGGTTATTGATTCTCCCTTTCTCATCGGAAAATAACAATTCTGTATTAGGATTTAAACAATAATGATTTTATGCATGATGGTTGAACTTCAAGAACATAAAAATTTTTGAACCACTGTAAACATTTTAAAATAAAACTTAAAATTTGGAATAATGAAATATTTTACGCAAATCTAATAAAAATAAAAATCAAACAGCAGAAATTGAAGGAACTAAAAGAAGTGAATCGATAAAGATGTCATTCAGAAGATGTGCATGTAAAAAATATTGCGGGTGAAATCCAAAAATCATGCAAACACTACTACTGAAGCAACAGTATTAATTTTATACATGATCCGTACAACCAGCTCCAATGATCCAGTTCCACAGCAATAGAGTTGTCTCTACTGAACTCTTATGTGTATTACGTTCAGCAAAAGTCTCTAATTTTAAGCTTTTAAACTCATATTTTCATTTTATTATCCCTTAACTTTGCTAACTTCAAGTGTAAACATAATCTGATATTTCATGTAATATTAATGCTTTAAGTTTTATATAATTTTTTAAAAAAAATTTTGCCTGAGCGTACGAGCAACACATGCAGTTCCTCAGATTATACAAACAAGAACCAAATCACCAAATTTTGTGTGATAAGACAATCCTAAACAAGAGTTAGCTCATAAACTTCTTTGTTTAAGACATAATGTTTCTGCTGACTACCTTGTATATTGAAAATGAGATTTAAAAATCAGCAATTATGAGATTCTACTTTACAATCTAGCAGACTGAAAATATCTAAATGTCACTCCATCACACCATTAATTAACTTATCTTTCAAATACTTTGAGTAGTTTACCTGAACTCTGAAGACAAATACTCAGCTTATATCTGCTTTTCAATGTGTCTTTAACAAGCTAGAATTTAAAAACTTTTAACCGAAAATAAGTCTTGAAGTTCAGGACCCAAAAATCCTACATAAAACAATTTTCCTTACAGCGATGATAGAGAATGATGAATGTTTTAAGCAGCCGCAGGATAATATCAACATGAGGAGCGTTCTGGTAAATGAATCACAAGATGGTTTTCGTATCACTGCAAAAGAAAGTTCCAGATATGTTCAGCTACTCTCCTCTATAAAAACTTTAGATGTGGGAACAGAAAATTATTAAAATAGTCTGAAAACAAATGAAAAGTTTAAAACTGGTCAAAATCTAGAAAACAAAGTGAAATGTGAAATTAATCAAAAGGAAATCAGCACGTATACTGCAAAAGCTTGCAAAGAATGGAAATGAGAATCGACAAAAATCAGCGATTATAAATTAGAACGTCGAAAAGAGGACGAAAATTAATAGGGCACAGCAATATTTCACACGAAAATTTCAACATGATGGACACTATTTTTCAGACTGGCGAGCAATAGGCATTTCATAATGATGTTTTTCTCCGAAGGTCCCTGGCAATGATGCAGAGAGGGGATTCAACTACGATTCATCAACCCAATAGCACTACCTAACCGGCCGACCATTATGGAACCTCTTGTCTTGCTCTGTTCTGAACTGCTGTGCTTGAAATTGCTGCCCTAATATACGATATTTCTGAGAAAACTCTCACTCTTCTCTCTCCTTCAGTTTATGTATGTGTTGGGAGGAGAGATAGAACAGAGTTCACAACTTGCAGTAGGGGTCACAAAACGCCAATTCAGAGGTTTCAAAGGTCATGTACAGATTTGGATAAAAGCTGACTGGGTATCACTAATAGACATGCAAATAATGAGAAACAATGCAGAATACCAAGTGACATGTTACTTTTGAATTCTTACGAGTCTAGAAGGGAGGACTCGAATACACTAATTAACGAAATGTTTGGATTCTTCTCAATGATATATTTAAATACAGATGTGGTCATCAAATATCCTTGATGCTAGAGAAAAATACCGTAATTGGCAACTATACTTACTAATTACACTTCGCAACTAATTTAAATACAGTAAAGCACTGCAACCATGCATTCGTTTTGAAAAAGATTATCTTACCGAAACCATTTTCCATATGATCCTCGTCGAAATAGAACATTGCGTTATTCGCTGCTTCTCAATCCAAAATCCTTCAAACTTTCCTCAGTATCTGAGTGAAATATTATGGAATCCTGTGTGATTTTCAAATAAATTGTAGATGAACTGGAAGATACAAACTTCTTTACTGTGCTTCTTTTTCTGCGACAACACTATCAAAATGCTGTTTCCTGATGTGAACAGAGAGTGAACACGAGGTAGAGAACTGGGAAATAAACTGTTGTTGCCGATTTGATATCGACTTGACTGAATAAACTAATTGAGCAGGTTATATACCTGAAAACTGTAGCATCTTAAAAATAAAATTCTTTGGCTTTTCCAAATTCGAAAAGAAATTATATAAAGAAACAAAGAATTTTAATAAGCACCTCCAAGATGAGAATGCTCGTACAAAGGGACAAAGTTAAGTGTTGTTAGATCCTAAGGAGAAAATGAAGAGACACGGCCTTCATAACCATTGTCAGTATTAACAGTGGTGTGACTAAGTTTAATCCATTCTTATTGTCGTTATCATTGATAAGTGTCTAAATAAGAAAACCAAAGTTTTTAACGCAAAATTTTTGAATTAGTTTTCTTATTCTCCATCAAGTATGCAGATATATTCATTCAACTAAGTTTAGACTTTTAGCAAAACAACAAAAGATTCTAAAGATTCACTGAGAATTTTTTTGACCTTTTCAAAATCTATATAGTAGCTAGTTCAAATGAACATGAGAAATCAACGGATTCATGTTACATATGCACTTATCCCCAACTGTTTTTGCTAAAGTAGCTAAATCAATAGAACAGAGAAGTAAATGAAGGAACTAACTTATTTTGATCAGCTAATTTAAAACCAAATAAATTAATATAAACGAGCGAATTCCAAATCATCAGAATTCAATGCATTAATTTTTTGAAGGAAGTAGGCAGCTTTTTGAACACTAACTTCTACATCTATTGCTTAAAACCATCACATACGCACATAACATTTCGCTTAAAAAAGCTTGCGTCTGTGATGTACATGTGTTCCCTACTTCTTGCCAGTTTAAAGAGCATTTTAATTCCTTCATAAACAATGAAAATTAATAGTTTCCTCCGAGTAACAGTAATATAGTTTTTTTGCATAATTTTCAACCAAATATGGAGACGCTAAATAAATTACTTGTGTTTTTTTAACGGTTGCGATATTTCAGACAGGTCAACGATCAGGTCTGGATATTTCATTGAAGAAACAATGTTGGTATAGCTTTTTCCAATTGCAGTGACATCGTAAAAGAATTATTCATTACTAGAGATCATCAGAAGAATGGAAAGTCAAACTTTCGAAAAGTAATCAGCTAATGACCAAAACTGCTAGCCGTTTATACAGCTAGTAAAAATTAAAAAATAACGATAAGCACTTCAAACGTTATGTTGGTGAACGGCTCTAATGTGAAGTTTTCTCCACTTCTTCCTCTTTTTCCCAATAATCAACCATTTCAACTCCCCCATTCTTTCTTACAGATTCGGACGAAAATTACAATTCATCTCGTTGAAGTTCGTTTACGCGAGTCTTCTTTGTTATTCAGTTACTCTCAAGTTAGCAAATTGGGTAATTCCCAAACTTAATCTATTTCAGGGAGAGGAAAAAAGTAACAGTTCTTCATAGCTTCATTATAAAAACATGAAGAAAATCAAGGGAGTTAAAATCAAAACAAAAAAACGAACAACAATGAATACTTCATTTACTTACCCAGCTTATGTTTTCGCTAACAAAGTACTTTGCTAAGTGATCAAAAAGCATACCTTGATATGAATACTACTTTTTTCCAGCTTTCTGATTTGAATCAAAACAAAAATAGGTAATCGTGGATTCCAATAAATCATCATACATGTTATTCCGTTATAAATTATCATATATGTTATTCTTTTTATAATGATTAATAGAATAACATGTATTATCATACATGTTATTCTGTTAGTCATTATAAAAATTTGAAATTATTATGTAATGGTATATAATTTTCATGCAAACCTCGTAATGTTAATTTCGTCTGAACAGTTTCGAGATGATAAGGCTAAATTATTTCAGTTTGAGTTGTTTGGTAACCAGATGAATTTCACTCTCACCAACTGTCGCGCTTCTCAACCAATAGGATCGTGGTGAATGGTACACACGAATTCCTTCCTCCGCTGACCGAACTCTGCAATAAAATACATTTCCGATTTCTGAAAGACAAACACCAATACGAAAAGGACGATTGTGGCATAAATTTTTATAAATTTTTATAAAAAGCTTATGAAACTGATTTGGAAAAAAGAGGTGAAAAAGGTACTAATTCAGCATTCTATACTAATTAAACCTCTGAATTAGTAAGATATTTGTAATTTAATACTGAAATTTAAATATTCTCTAAATTAACAACTAATTCATATATTTTGAAAATAGTATTCGAAACCTAAATCTGATTCTATCATGGACTTTATCGTGAACTGAAAACTTGGGCGACAAAAAATTGCGAAAGAGTCTGCAAATTGCTTTCTCTAGAGATCACATAATATTGCAGAGAAATAACAAATTCGAGAATTTTCTAAAATGATGTAAATTTGCAGAAGTATTACGGAGAAGCCTCTGAATAGTAAAAACCAGTGATGAGGGAGGTTCCTGTGGAGTTAAAGAACAGGAAAGAAAATATATCAAATGACAAACACGAGGAATAACACCTATGGTCAATGACATGAGACGACTAGCTTTTTCTTCCTTTCACCAATCAAAAATCTCTACTCATTTCATCAAAAAGGTCTATTTTACAATTATTGTTATTTGTTATGCAAATTAAATTTAAATAAATGTACAAGCAAAGCAATAAAAGATTTATTTTAAATAATACTGTCTTTTTAGGGGCTTTCATAAAAAGTTACCTTCCAAAGGTATCTTTTTTGTATGCTCTTAATAAAATTTCCTTTCAAGAATCGAAAATTATTCGAAATCAACAAGAAAAACCTCTTTTATTAAGCAATTCATAAAAAAAAACTGAATAGAAGTTAGTTGAATACGATATTATAAAATTACGGTACTGGAAATTTTTCCGACAGGGATATTTAAAAATATTAATTCTCTGTGAAAACTGAAATAACAGACTTTAGAAATGACAGCCACTCCACTTTCGAAAACATAAATTAGATAAGTTGATGCAATATAATTTCTTTAATAAAAGATTTTAAGCTTGACACAAGCATCTACACCAACACTGTAAGCTTCTAAAAAAGTCCATATATAAGGAATCGATATGAGTTAAATAAAATACCACCTGCACAATAATTCCCACTACCAATAAAAAAACCTTATAAAGAAAGAGCAACTTCCATATAATCTTAGTTTGATTTACTTTTGCTTGAACTAATTACGTATTAAACTTCAGATAAATCAAGTACTAAAGTGGGAATTAAACGATGCAGGTGTATTTTACATTCTTTTGAATTCATGCAAATCTTTTGCATTTGCAAAGGATACCATAAACAAACGCATTCAAAAGTAAATTTTCAAAACATAACTTTTGAGCTCAAACAGAGAGTTATAAATTAATACTCTCAACTTACCGCCCCGATTGGTAACTTCATCACTCAGCGCAAATGAGTAAACACTATTCTCAAGTACTCTAAAATGAACACAATATACGAACAGTGATCAAATGAACCACCAGTTAAATCGGATCGATTAGCATCAACAAAATAGCATATATATACATACAATATACATATATATACATATACATGTATATACATATACATATATATACATATACATATATATACATATACATATATATACATATACATATATATA